CAGTCAATTATGCAGCAAGAAAACAGGCGCCCACCCTGACCCCAGCCAACAAGGCAGGACCGGAGAGCTGCAGGGCCGCCTGGGCGTCCACTGGTCCCCTTGGCTCCTCATGATGCCCTGGGTGACCCTGGGCTACTCTGGGCAACGGTCAGACTGGGAGGTCTGGCTCAGTGGGCTGCTCCGTGTACGGGTGGGTGGGGTGGAGTGCAGGGGTGGAGGTGCCCCTGAGTGTCTGAGCAGAGAGGCAGCCCCGTGGAGACGGTGGCTTCTGCCCCGACTGCTACCCCGCCGGGCACTGGCTGCCGACCCCAGAGGCGAACCAGTGCATCACTACTCAGAACTCCAACCTCGGCCCCTTATTCCCTACCCCCATCCCCAGAAGCAGCCAGTTTTCCCCATCTGTAGGCCCTACCCATCCTTCAGTGCTGTCTGTAATAGAAAGAATCATAATAATAACCATGAATTGTGAAATACAGCCTCTTGGCTGGGCATCTTTGTCCACCTTCACAGCGACCCTCTGAGGTAAGTCCCGTCCTCGTCCCCATCCTACAGATGCAGAAACAGGCTGGGAAAGGTGAATTAAATTACCAAAGTCGGCTCACCAAGTCAGTAGGGGAAAGGGACTCAGGCCCAGGTCTGTGCGCGTCCCCCCCACGGCCTATATTTTGTAGACCTGCTGCTACGTGTCTGCCCCTCAGTCAGGAGTCTTGGGGGACAGGCACAGACTGGGTTTTTGCTCCCTGAATCTTCAGTCCCCGGCACGGAGGAAGTGATAACGTTTGTTGAAAGACAAATCTTGTGGAAAGAACAATCTTGTTCCAGAACATCCCCACGTCCCTTCTCTGTCCCCTGGGCCTCTCCCCACCCTCCCAGGCTTTGCAGCCGCCAGCACTTGGCATAGGAGGAGCCAGTCTCACTGGGACTAGGCCTCTGAGGAAGGAACTGGCTTGTGACTTGTCTGTCCTGTAGCTCCCTCCAAAGGAAGCCCCTCCCCGGGAGC